GTCGAGGCCCAATAGAAAAAAACTAGTGCACGTAAAAGTAGCATTTGTTGTCCCATCAGATCATGTGAGCCCATCCGGCTGGTCAGGCATGCCCAGGTCGTTCGTCACACGGGATCTGGCACCGAGGAGGCAAGGAAGGAAGTGGAGGCTGAAGGCAGAGCCAAAGAGCTGAACCTGCCCTGGTGTTCATGTGGGACATACCACTCGTACCGAATTTCAATGTACCGCAAAACACCACAGACTCAGCGAGCGGTATGCATACTGGGACATACCGGCTGAATGAGAAATCCACCACCACATAGACTATCCCGGACCCTCCCTGACCTCTCAGGGCTGGGGCTGGATACGACCTCACTTCTGTACAGTGTGAAGGAGGACGGATCCGTAGCAAGCACCGATCGATGGGTTGGTTCATGGCCGGTTGTAGCTGGAGGTCTCGATCGCTGTATACACACACACACACACTCACACATACGTACAGACGTAGCTTCTCGTGGGACACTGATGTACATTATCGAGAGGGAGGTTGCACTTGCTCAATTTAGGGCACATTTCGACTCCTAAGAGAGTACATCGCATTGTCCTGGAAGGACTCAGGTTGAGTGACATGTTGTACATATTGTACATATTGTTGTACATGTTGTTGTGCGGGGACGGTGTGAACGTAAACGGGCGTACATGGCAATACATATTCTACTGTATAAATCTTTTGCGAGCACGAATGAATGAATGAATGTTTGAATTGATTGGGATACAAAAGTGCGGCATGCACTGGGCCACAGATCCAGCGTGCACAATCTGTTGCTCGCTGTCTGGCTCATGACACCGTCCAAGAGCGAGGATATCGTTGAGCCTGCCGTTTACATGAAATAACAGTACAGTATGTCTGAATGAACCTTTTTGGAAGTGCACGGAGATTCTGACGGTGTATTGATTCCGCATCGTGACCTTTTCGAGGCCGTAGAGTAAAATAAGAACGGCATAGGCCTTCGGAGTTCGCACCGCACAGGACAGAGGTCTTTTGTCAGGCTTGCCCATGCTAGTTTTGGCCCACACAACCAGCTCGGGGCTGTAAATGTCCAAATCTGGGACAACGATCGAGAGAATGCCTTTGTTTTCCGTTCAGTATCCGCTGACAGTGCAGAAATGGAGTTGACAGATTTGCAGGGTTACAGCAATCCCCTGCATCACATATCTCTGCCGCTAGAGGTTGAAGTATGACTGTGTACATATCTATCACACCGACAACCACTGATGAATAATGGCAGTAGGAAGGCTGTACAAGGCCGATGTAGTTGATGAACGTAACGGGACTTGGATGTATATTTTATTGCAGTCCGATTTCATCGATCACAGAGAAGGCTGCCGCTCTGCATAACCGAATTTCAGCTTTTATGAGTTTCTCAGTCTTTTGTAAAGTGGAATGAAACTCGTTGAGAATGAATCTAGCCCGTTGTAACAAGTCGCTTAGCTGTACATTCACGGTAACGATGCCCTGCACAGTCGATTCTAAACGGCAAGCAGGTCTATTCAACGACACAAATGTCGATTATGGTAAGATTGATGAGATTATGGACGATCGACCGAGAACAGACTTACGAAAGGATATCGATAGAAGCAAACGAATATATCCAATCATGACTAACTCGTCATGACTCGACTAATATGACTAATTCGTCAGTAGCATCTCAGAAGTTCGGTGAGGTAAACTCCTCAATTCTGCTTTAGACCATGACCAAATCCCTCTCCCTCCCTCTCGTGCAGTCGATGCGAGACATTTCGCATCCACAACCTTCACACGAAATTTCAGTCACATAGTCTGAACTAATGGTGACAAGAGTTTAGAGACTCCTGCCACTAGGTATAACGAAGGGGCTCGGCTTTGCGAATGCTGCAAGGAGGCTAATTGATGATGATGAACTGCCAACTATCCCTTGTCCTAATCAAAGTCATGCCTCGGTCATATTTTATACCTGTAGGGCTTCTCCACATTAAGGTGAACAGTCTAGGGCCCTTCTGCTGCTTTGGGTACACTCCGATGGGGTAATGATAACCGAGGACGAGCTACATCCTGCTGTATGGTTCCATAGCTGATTGAGGTGATGATCATATTACTTCTTGTCGACCTGATACATCTGTAACAACGTACTGCCAGAAGAACAGACCTAAAGAACCATTCTGTCAGGTATTGGGATTCCTGAAACCGTAGCTGGCAGCCTGCTGAACTCGGCATACAAGTAAACATCTTTTCATGTTGACATTTTTTTCAATAATCATATTCATATGTTCACTTGACATTTGCTCACGTGGTTCTTCTGACTTCAAAAAATGCACGCATTGCCAGAGAGGGAGTTCAGAAGATACTTCTCATTGCTCCTTCGGGATTCAGAGCTGAAAAGTTTACCGTACTGACAGCTCGAAGGGCGCGCTCAATTGGAGTCCAGTATGCCTCACGGGGAACTTATTGCTAGATACTCTCCTTCCTCTTTATTCTTACACAGAAGCCCTTGCCTCATGAGGTGACCGACTGACACTAGTCAATCAAGGAATCTCCATAAACACCCCTGAGACTGTTCCAACTGACACCAAGGTCCTCATTATAGAGGTCGAGCTCCTGGTCCAAATAAACCAGGCAGCAAATCGACCTGAAAATGCTGTATACAGTGGGAACTCGATTGACTTGACTCTGTGTTCGTTAAATGGACTTCTCATTCGCCTGACTGACTGAAGATACAATATGCTAAGAGGGATCTATTGTGAACCTTTCTACCTCCAGAGGCTAATCATTGGGCTTCTCGCTCATTAATATGCATGTAGTCGGCCTGTACAGTTCTGTGCTCTGGCGAGCAAGCTAGCACTATGGGCAGTCAGTCACCAGCTGGACATGAGCTCATATCGATGAAGTCACGTTCTGAGTGGCATTGATGATCTACTCTCCTCGTTCCCAAACACGCCTTGTGCCCTGCAGGCCCGAGGTTCAGATTCACTGGAATTAACAATGGCTTTGTCCCCAATCAGAGTCGAGGGCGAAGAGATCTGGACTGTAACTCCAGGACCAGAACAAGAATTCAGCCTGGACCAGATCGATAGCAGTTGCAGTCAAATTTCAATATGTTTTCCTTCTCACGTCGTTGGCTATCTCATTGAGTGGCAGAAGTGAACAAGTCCACTCGCGTCTTCGTGGTGCAACACACACTTTGAGAAGTGGATGTCATCGTATGGTTCAGCAACTTGGTGGTGTTTGAGTTCCTATTTCTAATGCAGTCTTCCCGTTTTACATGCGCATCGTTTGGAAACTGAAGGTTCAAGCCTTCGTTCGGTTCACCCTTGCGCCTTTTTTTGTCTCAGGGAAAGTGTATGTCGGCCGCAGCCTCCATGATGTATCTACTCAAGAGACGAGAGTCGAGGTTGACGGCGACATCGATCTGCTGAGGCATCGTGAGCGTGAACGTCGACGTTGCGCCTCACAGCAGGCAGCCTTTCAGGGGCATGTCAAGAGAAGTGCATGACATTTTGGGTTCTGTTGCTTTTCAGTATTGGTCCAGTAACGCATGTGGTGAACAGAACGTCATATACGTCTTGACTGTTCGATTCTCGAGAACAATAGTTCTCATGAGTGACTTTAGCACCCGACGTTTCATCAATTCTTCTTCCCCGAACGTGAAGTCATAATCTACCTTCAAATCATGATCTAAGAACCACATGGATACAAGCTCGGCAATTGAGCACCCACGTAAAAACTGTTCTATGCGAGAAAATTGCTGACAAGACTTACGACAGTCATCGGAATATTTTGCGTGATTTCTGCTCAGAACATTTTTTTGCGTGATTTCTTGCTTCTGGCCTGACAACTTGGACCTGAGCCGTAGTTGCAATCTGTAGCGGGGATTGTTTCCTTACAATTTGGGAATTCTTGTTGGAGCTGCACGTCGAGTGGGGCTCCGATTTCAACAAGTTTGAATTCCTCAAAAGGATTGAGGAAAATTCTCTGCGTATGAAGGCCGAACTCTGTAATTTCAGAAATCACGTTTCTCTCAAGCCAGAGGCAAGATGCAGCAAAATATGTGCATCTGTTGGCACTCGACTGCTGACAGTCAACGCGAAGCAAAATCTTATATCACCTTGCAAAAAACTTGTCAGCATAGCAAGCGTCGCGAATAGCGGATCTTGATATTGGGCGTATGGTAGATTTATCGGTTGAAAGCTTTGCGGCCACTCTCTCCCTGAAGCTTCCCATTTAGTAATCATACCATTTCCGGTTGTCCACCTCAGAGTGTGGAGACCTACCGTCATCTGGAGAACACACTAGCGTTAAGTTTCACAATCTGATGATGATGTTTTCTCAAGAAACAGAGGAGGACGATGCCTCTGCTTTTTATTTTGTTCATGGAGATAAGCTTTATGCTGATGATGTGTCCTAATTTCAAACGTTCAATGACAATAGGATTCAATGTGATTCTGAGACGCGATGAGAAGTCATCATCTGGAAGCCCTTTGAGTGGGTCTAATAAATTAACAAGAGCTATTGGGTATTTACATGCATTTAATGCCAGGTAAGTGGGCAAGTAATGAGACTAGCTAGTAACCAAAAGATCTGCAGCAAACAAATGGTTTACGGAACTCGCTGGAATGCCTCCCTCTCTGCTCTATCCCCTGTATTCCAGAATGGAAATTGTGTAGGACACTTCGTGAACAGAGAGCAAGTGTCACATACACCGGCTGTCAACAAGCTTAGATCAGTAACGGAACAGCGCAATCCATCTGCGTTCTATATAATTTATCCAAGTCTTTCCTCCACAGGTCTAAAAATGAACTAGACAGGTACTTTGAGTTGCTTTGGGCCAATTCACACTTCTTTCGAATCTTGTTTTCAAGCTATACATTCAGAGACGCCTAAAATGTTAACAAAATTTCGAAGTTTGGAAAATGAAGAAAGTTCATTAATTCAAACGATCTAAAGGTCAGATTACTCACTCTAAAATAGAACAAAGTTTAGCAAGGCCATACGCAGAATTTAGGAGAACAAACTCTTAAAGCCACTACCCTCAAAGAGTGATACAATACAGTACCCTTTGAGAGAACCCGCTGAATGAACCAAGGCCCGATCTCACATAGCAATAATCCAAATCCTTAGTTGAAGTACACCACCACCAACAAATGTGGATATTGTTACAAACAGGTATCAATGAAAGGGCATACTATCAGAAGAATACCATCTTTATAAATTATGGACGGACAACACTCAGGCCGGGGCTCTGTATTATACATTATGATCGTCGAGCACATTGTGTACTAAAATAAAATGCTTCGTCAGACTTATATCAATCAATTTGTTTAAAATATAAGATCAAAATCACTGCAGGGAGTGAGGAATGCTGAAGAAATATCTTCAATGAAAATTCTTAGCTTTTGTGGTTATAAATTCAATTCAGTAGAGCTACCAAAGCAGCTGCTACGGTTCCGAACATCAAAGCAGATCCAGATTGTAGAGTAAAGCCGCTGTTTCCAGGTGTATCACCGGCAGTTGGTGGCACTGCAGGTGCGTCTGCAGACTGCTCGCTAACTGTATCGTCTGCAGCAACAACTTGCAAACTCATCTTCATGTTTCCGGGGCTGCAGTGGCTGGGAAGTGAGCAGATGTAGCCATGGTACCCAACGCTGTTGAGAGTGACCTTTGCGTTGGAGAACTCCCACTTCTGGATGGTGGTTGCATTCGTGCAGCTTGCCACATCTGTCTCACTTACTTGGAAAACATCATGAGCCGGAAAGCTATACACGAAATCTGCACGTTATGGAACCAAACATACGAGAAGCTCAGTGGACGATTCATGAAAGTATGTTATGTCGCGCAGTGAAACGTGATAGTGCATCTATTTTGATGAGCAACACTGTAAAGGCACCATGTTCAGGTCTGTAAGGCGGAGGAGACGCTTTGATTCCTGCTGCAAAGCCAAGTGAGCAGTTTTGAGCAGTAAGTTGAGTGGAAGTTGGGAAAGCTTACCGAGCTCATCGCCGACTCTGAAAGTGTGGGTTTTGGCCCAGTCGTCGTAGAATGTTGCACTTTCTACAAATGTCCAGCCAACAGCATCGCCCACGGTGTATGTTACAGCAGATGCAATTTGCAACATACTAGCGAGAACCATAATTGTGATCAACTTTCCTTGAGCTCCCGCCATGATTACAATGGAAGGCAACGAAACTCAGGGTTTCAAAGTCGAATTCCCGAATGGGATATGCACGACTCCAATCCCAGCTGTATTCTTCTCCCCTGTTTGAAAGTGCCAACAAGAGTCCAGAAAATCAGAGCCCAGATTGTGGTGTGTGATATTTCAGTGGACTACAAATGGATTTGAAAAACCCGAGTACTTTGCGTCTGCACCACGTTGGAAGGCAGAAGTGATCTGAAACTGGTGGGTGGATGCAAGCGTGGATTGCAGCTGAGGGAGGGAGATTGAGTTGTCTTGGATAGTCGATAGCGCTGCTCTTATAGCGGCCCATGCAAGAGTTCGTCTGGGTTGTTTGAGAGACCCGCATTGACATTGATCTTGGAATGTCATGGGTCGGAAAATGTTTCTGAATTGTCGGTCCGGTCAATCTTACGGTATATGGGACTCGGTCCGAACGCTTTCCCTTTGAGGCATGCCCCTGCTTTTAACCGAATCGGTGGACCCCCCAGCGACTTCTTGTTGTACGGACCCGCGAGTCAAAGTCGTTAAACAGAGTAGAAGCTTTTCCATGACAACTTTCCGGCATCCAGATGATCAGGCTTATGCTGTTTCAACCCAGCGGAAACAAAATCACTTCTGCATCGGAGGTAATCTTCGAACGAAGCTGCCGACGGCCATGATGAGTAGTGCTGGAAACATCTGTAGATTTTTGTGACGGACATGCCATTGACTTTGAAGCCTCGTTTCAACTGGATCCTTCACTAGATTTCGTCGACCAAGTTTGTCAGGATGCACGTTCTAGCCTGGAATAGCGTAGGATTGTACAAGTTTCATAGAAAAATTGCACGGAATTCATGAGATTCTCCTTCAGCTGTCACTCTTGGATGAATGACAGCTGAAGGGAAAGAAAAGTTGTTGTCAAAGTGGAAATTAGTCGACTCCATATTGGATGGATGATCTAAGCGTGAACGAGCATGAGGCCGGACATTGAGATAGACCTCAAAAGAGCTAACTACATCCAAGAGCTCTCTCCTCAAAGGCGCTGAGGTTTTTTTTACTTCTTATTGTTTCTTATGAATGAACACCTGAAGAAATAGAGGATAGAGAGACCATGTCAAAGCATTGCCGATTACTTCAACAAATTACATCCGCCTTTCATCATATAATACGTATTGTTTTGTAATTTTCCATTTGGTAAAAGTAATGAGGCCAGGGTATTAGATGTAAGGTCAACTTTGGTGCTATATCGATGTGCCCCCCGCCTACATTGAAGGAACATGACATGGGTATCTCATGCGCTGCATTGGAGGGAAGAATTCTCTCAGACATTCCATCATTTTGTTTGCCATCATCCCTTGGACAACAGACTTGTTTCATTGCCAGTTATGTTAAAAAGTTGAAAATTTAAATATCATTTAAGTTTGTCATGAGACTTCAAGCCTGATTCATATGGAGGATTTGAAGCGACGCAAACGTCACCTATGCATGATCGACTCCGACTCGATTTGGGTCATCGGATAGAACAAGAGCAAAACATAAACAGAGTGCAACAAGGTATTGAAGAGCCAGGGTTCCCTGCGAAATTCTCTATGTCTGAATTTTAGCGCGTTCTTGTCATCTAAGGTTTTGTATTTGTGAGTATAAGATAAGGTATAGTGAATCAGCAATTACTAAGATTTCGTGACATTCAATGTCAGACATCAGATCTACGTCAATGAAATCTTGAAGGTCTTTCAAGCTTACTAAAAAAAGCATTGGGAGACAAATTTTCGAAATATGTGGGCTTCAAGACAGTAGTTACGACAACGAGTAATTAAGAACTTTCCCGCATCCAAAATTTCAGCATTCACCATGGAAAGCCCTCAAATTCCAAGTTGGAATATTGGCAAGAGGTATGGCCAGGACAGTATATCAGGTCATGGTTCCTGTCAGATGATGAAGTACATGTCATACGTAAAGTACATTGCCAAAAATGCAAAGCTTCATTGTCATTCCGTCTACATTAGGGACATCAAAGAAATGTATCGGCTATCACTAGCTCGAAGCTTGCAAGCTGAGGTCATTGCAGCTAGTCGTTGCCATCGAGTGTACTTTGTGTTGCAGACCCTAAACTACACAGAAGGTTTCAAGGTGATGACCATGAAAGCCGGAAATTTCTTTGCATTGTTTGACAATTGGATTCTAACTTTAATAAATGGGCCTTTTTTGACAACCTCTCTTTCAATCTTTCGACATTCCTGTGTAACGAAAGATGTGTCAGAGAGGGCTGAGTGCTGATTCAATGCTCTACTTTCGAGTCTAGTGAGCTTTCCAGCTTTAGTTTTGTACGTTGGCTTCAGCAATTTTTCTTCCTGTCTCACAATCACCATGTATTGTGTGCCTCATGATCGGTCCCACATATCTGATCGAAAGATCATTACAAACAGAGGATGAAGAACTTCCACGGAGGAACATACAGTATTTGTAAGTATGACAATCATTAAACTTTCGCCGAGCTTGATCAAGACGAACTGCAGACAAACAGAGACTTAGACCAGAAGCTCTGAGAGCCAGCTATGTCGGGCAGTGTGAAATTTGATACACGCACAGTCGATCTTGGTAGTATACTAAGTAAAGGTTTGAATTTGTCGTTAATTTTTGCGGGAAGTACAAAGGGAGATGAAGTAGGATCATGTCAAAACTAAGTTTCTTCTAATGGAGTTGTAAATGTGAGGCTTTTATCTCCCTTTGCTTTTAACTCGTACAAAATGTGTCGTAAAATATTAACTTGAACCCACTGAGATCAGAGAAATTCATACTTTTCTGCTGACAACGCAAAGTAGTATCAAGCAGAGAAGGAAAAAATAGCGTTTGGGTTTTGGAGTCTAATTCAGGAGAGCTACCAAAGCAGCTGCTACGGTTCCGAACATCAGAGCAGATCCAGATTGTAGAGTAAAGCCGCTGTTTCCAGGTGTATCACCGGCAGTTGGTGGCACTGCAGGTGCGTCTGCAGGCTGCTCGCTAACTGTATCGTCTGCAGCAACAACTTGCAAACTCATCTTCATGTTTCCGGGGCTGCAGTGGCTGGGAAGTGAGCAGATGTAGCCATGATACCCAACGCTGTTGAGAGTGACTTTCGCGTTGGAGAACTCATACTTCTGGATGGTGGTTGCATTCGTGCAGCTTCCCACATCTGTCTCACTTACTTGGAAAACATCATGAGCCGGAAAACTGTACTGGAAATCTGCAATTTTTGAAACCAGACATACGAGTAGCTCAGTGGACGATTCATGATAGTATGTTATGTCGCGCATTGAAACGTGATAGTGCATCTATTTTGATGAGCAAAACTGTAAAGGCACCATGTTCAGGTCTGTAAGGCGGAGGAGACGCTTTGATTCCTGCAGCAAAGCCAAGTGATGTCGTACACAGTAAGTTGAGTGGAAGTTGGGAAAGCTTACCGAGCTCATCGCCAACTCTGAAAGTGTGGGTTTTGGCCCAGTCGTCGTAGAATGTTGCACTTTCTACAAATGTCCAGCCAACAGCATCGCCCACGGTGTATGTTACAGCAGATGCAATTTGCATCATGCTAGCGAGAAGCATAACTGTGATCAACTTTCCTTGAGCTCCCGCCATGCTTACGATGGAAGGCAACAAAAATATGGGTTTTAGAGTCGAATTCCTAAATGTGGTATGCACGGCTCCAATCCCAGCAGTATTCTTCTCCCCTGTTTGAAAGTGCCAACAAGTGTCCAGAAAATCAGAGCACAGATTCTGGTGTGGATATTTCAGTCGATACGAAATGGATTTGAAAACCCCCGAGTACTTTGCGTCAGCACCACGTTGAAAGGCAGAAGTGATGTGAAACTGGTGGGTGGATGCAAGCGCGGATTGCAGCTGAGGGAGGGAGATTGAGTTGTCTTGGATAGTCGATAGCGCTGCTCTTATAGCGGCCCATGCAAGAGTTCGTCTGGGTTGTTTGAGAGACCCGCATTGACATTGATCTTGGAATGTCAAGGGTCTGAAGATGTTTCTGAATTGCGAGTCCGGTCAGTCTAGCGACATATGGACTCGGTCCGAACGCTTTCAATTTGAGGCATGCCCCTGCTTTCAACCGAATTGGTGGACCCCCCAGCGACTTCTGGTTGTACGGACCCGCGAGTCAAAGTTCTCAAACAGAGTGGAAACTTTTTCCTGACAACTTTCCGACGTCCAGATGATGAGGCCTCTGTGTTTTCAACCCAGCGGGAAAATATGACATCTTCACTGGAGGTAATCTTCGAACGATCTGCGGACGGCCATGACGAGGACTACTGGAAATGACTGTACATTTATAGGACGGACATGCCATTGGCTCGTTTCAACAGAATCCTTTACTTGATTCCGTCGACCGAAAACTGGCGTTTTGGGGTTTGGACTCTAATTTTGGCGAGCTGCCAAAGCAGCTGCTACTAAACCCCGAGCAGAGCCAGATTGACAGGTGACATCGTTGTTTCCAGGTTGATTTGCAGCTCCATCTGCGGACTGCTCTATAACTGTACCGTCTGCAGCAACGACTTGCAAACCCATCTTCATTTTTGGAGCTCCTCTATCTCAGATAGAGGGTTTAGGGTTTAGGGAGTCATTGCAGATAGACTATCTGCAATGACCATCATTTACTCGAGAGCCGAGAACCAGTGCATACAAGCTTCTTATAGATTCTCATCGCATCTCTCCGGAGACACGTGCGGACTTCGAACCGAGCGTGGATCTTTCCGTACACCAGCCCGGTCAACCTTAAGCTACGTGCGTGTCGATGGGGTCCGCGTCTGGAGAGTAACTTTTACCAGCAGCTGCAAGTTTCAAGACAAAGATTTCCACCACCTTGAGCACGAAGCGAGGTGGAGTCATCACGAGTCCAACTCTCCCGAACGATTTAGAAGCTTTTCAACGACACAACTCCGGCACCAGGACTATCCCATTCCACTTGTTTCATCTCAAAGGAAAGATCAGGTGACCTTCGTCGTTCGGATCTTCACAAGACCCAGTTTTGATTCGTTCAACGAGGTAGTTAGGAGAGCGGGCCCTGACCCTTTCGGAGTAGCGCTTGAACTTGGCCAAAAGATGGGAACGACAGACATGAATCGGAGGTAAAGGTGGAGAGACCTCTTCTGCGTTTGGTGGTAGGTGATGTCGATCAGCTGACATCGATAGCTCCAGAGAACCCGAGTCAATCGTGCTGCCACGATCTGCGTCGGGCTATAAGTGAGTAGTTGTGAAAACGAGTGAATAAGTAACATCGTCTTTTGATGCGATGGCTTGCTTCCCTTCTTCCCGAGCCGCAGTCAGGATTGACCCTGAGATGATGTGCAAAGATGACTAAATCGGAACGGGAGCTTCCTACATCTCTGGATGCTAGAAATGGATGACGAGGGTCTAGAATCTTTGAAGATTCCGGCACTCAGCGAAGATATTATCTCATTGAGCAATCTGCTGAAGAAGAACGGAGTCTTCAGTACATCAGCCGTCAACATCGATTGTTTTCAGTTCGTGAATGCACGTCCGTACAAGTACAGATGCTCAGTCCAGGTTCCAATTTTTGTTCTATTCCTGAACAGGAGATTTAAAAAGAGGACTTGTGTTTTTCTTTCTGACGTCACCACTTTAACCGACTTTTGGTTGAGCATGTTGTTTTAAGAATCAACAATGGACAAAGTCCACAAATTTTCTCAGCTCGTCTAAAACCTGCAGCGGATTTTTGGTCTTGGGGTTGATGGGCATCAGTCATCTTTGTGTGCTCGTAAAGTGATTCTTGGACTCCCAGTTTCCTACGCCAAGAATTGCTAAGACAGCCCACAGTTTCATTTCCTGAGACCTGTTGGCCAAAACTTTTCATTTTATACTGTGATATTTGTAATTTTGACGAAGAATTATTTCAATTTGCCCATAAAGCTTTTCATATGTTAAGATAAAAGACACTGACTTTACCTTTGTTAATGATATGAATGTAATGATTTTGGATGAAATAACTCTAGTCATCGTCTTGATATCTCGGACTTGATTAATGTCAAGTTTAGAGTGACTAAGATTCACAAAAAATATTAATAAAATGGTATTAGGTGAGTTATATATTAAGACCCGGATCCAACAACGACGAATCCATCTTCACCGTTGCTCTAAAAGTTTTCCTATTTATTTTCGTGGATGCTCAAATTTTAATATCAAATAGACATTTAAAATCTTCTTTTAATTTCTACAAATGTAATATTTGCATTTATTCAGATGTAAGTATTGATATTGATAAGTTAAATAAAACTCATGGATTCAAATGAAATGAAAAATATGTCAACGAATTACTAAAAAATATTCAATTTTATCTTAAGAATAGGAAATATAATTTTCAATCCAATCATGGATAGCAATCTGAAGCGAGATTATTTCCATGCTCATCCTGTGATATTCATTTTTAAAAATAATTATAGATCGTAAATTTTAGATTCCTCATTTTTTATTTCAAAGAAAAATATTTTTTTTCAAAGGCTTGAAAATATTCAAAAATTCCTGATTTGCACATTTTTTTCCGAAGATGAATTTTTTTAAATTTTGAAAATACGAGAATATTGAACTCATTTTGAATTGAAATTTTTAAATGTTAAGTGCAATCTCACACACCTTAATTTAAAAAAAATGAAATTTATTTCTATTAAATTTTTTCCTCACCTGCAATTTAGCTTTATTTTTCAAAATTTTAATTTGACGATAATATATGTTCAGTATTTTAGCGGCTTGTTGAAATTTTTTTCACTTCGAAATATGTTATGAAATTTTTTTAAAATGTTTGATATCATATCAATATAAACTGAACTCAAAAGTTTAAATTGTCAGAACTCTCAACGTGGATTGATTTCATTATCTTTTTGTATTTATAATGATTCATTTAAAAATTTCCCAAACGCTTCACCTATAGAATTTTCCAAAATGTTCTAGATAAATTGTCGTCCTTTCACTCGATATTCTTCACTTGATTTTTCAAATTGCTAAAACTCTCATATAAAATATATGCAAGTTTTAGGAGAAAAACCGTTGAAGGGAAATTTTCAATCAACAAGTACATCATAAAGCAATACGCAAATTATTTTTTATCAACCCTGTCACAAACCTTTGAATTTCATTTCAATCAATGCAATATTTTTTCGTCACGTTTTTTCACAAATTTTTTTTTTCAACTTTAGTTTTTTTTTCATACCATCTATAAATTTATCAATAAGTTATATTTTTATTGAGTGTTTTAAATCTAATTTTCCATTGAATCCTTCAAAACTAATGCAAATGTCTCTTTAAAGCTTTTTTGGTCATTAAATTTGAAACCCACCACGAAAGTTTAAAGCATGCATGCAATCATATTGATAAAAATTATTTGATTTTTTCTAGACAAAATTCTAGTCATTTAAAATTTTGAAATCCAAAGCCATGCACAATTCATCTAGCCGAATTCAATTTTATCATAGTTTTTTTAAATGTGCATTGATAAACTGTTCAAATTTTATAGAACCTCCAAAAAGTTATTAGATAGTTTCTATCGGTGAAAATTTCCAGAAATAAGAAAGAAGAGTGTAAATTTTTAACTCTGATGAAACAAACACAAAATTTATCTGATTAAAAATTTTACTACTCGCTAAAGTAAAGACTGAGTTCTAGTAAAAACAGTATTTCCTGTGTTGAATAGAAATAAAATATTTTATTTTATACCTATCAAATAATAAGGTAATTAAAATTTTTTATCAATTGAAAATAATAAAATATAGCGAAAATTATCTTCAATAAAATGTTTGTGGGAAATGATGAAAATTTTTACATACACTGTAGTTCTCTTATGTGATTCCAAATATTTGCTTTTGCACGATTCCTTCTTTCGAAATATCTCCATGCCCCTAATTGTAACATTGACTTATAATCCTAGTTTGTTACTGTCCCTCATTTTCCTCACGAAAATCTTTCACTTTTAACAATCTGACTCTAATACTATTTTTGGTTAAGATCAACATCTCGGTGATAAACAACCCCAATGAGTAAGCATAAGTTATTATGTGATTCATCTCAGCAAGACTACATCCAAAAAATACATAGACTCATGTACTGAAATCCTAAATTATGTCACAAAGAGCTCATGCGAGTCCTCTTGTATGGCATAGCTCACTAGTTTAACTTCTCATAGTGAAACCAACTATAGATTACTAAGACATACATTAACTCCTAATAAACATGATCCACAATATGTGTATTATCTGCTAAAATTCACAAAACATGATTAAAGGTGTAAACACGAAAGTTTTTTAATGAGCTGTGGCAATTAGGTTCTTCAAAGTTTCTCCTTATCAACTACAAAATGTGGTGAATAACATGGTTACATCTTCATGTGAAAGGATATAATTATGAACCATACAAATATCATAAAAGTAAGATGGTTGTGACAAAAGTCTAACAAACTCTCTTAACTCTTTAAGATGAATGCAGGCGTGATATTGTTGAAAGCAATCTCAATATACTTCTATACAACTCGTTTGAGATGATTAAAGAATTGAGCTCTATTGTCCACAAAGATTACCTAACAACCTCATGATATGTATGAACAAGATTTCTCCAGAATGATGTACATAAAGATTCTAATACAGGAGTGAATGGTATTCTATGATCAATACAAGTAATATTTCGTGATATGAGATTCTCTTTAGCAGTCACAGTTATATCCATAGTATTCTTCTCCATTGCAAAATACCAATTAGTAGCTAAAATTTGACTAAATTCAGATAATAATATATTTCGTGCGTCTCAGGCGGCTCCAAGAGATGAAATGAAGCTGTAGTTAACACAAAAGCAGCAAGAATGAAACCATGGAATTCGCCATATGTTTCATACCATTTGCAAAATCAGATTACCGTACTAGAAAATTGACCATTTGAAAACTTTCAAAACCCCAACATCTCGAAACATCCATAAGATTTTACTTATACCTTCAAACTCTTTCAAGTAGATTCCATGGAACCAAAGCAAGAAAAGTAGAAGATTGAAAAGAAAAATAATCCAGTCCACATGTCCGATTTGAGTGAAATCACTCAGATAAAAAAATTACAATGACAAAATAGTACGTGTATAATTGTCTATTGGTTTTGATCTAAGTATCAGTGAAATCGAACTGAAACAAAGAGAGAATGTCTACTCAGAGGCGCGGATAGTGGTCTCAACATTTCAAATCTTCAAATCTTCCCAAGCTTCGAACACACACAGAACATTTCAAATCTTCACAAGCTTCGAACACACTCTGAACATTTCAAATCTTCCCAAGCTTCGACTATGCTCTGAATATTTCAAATCTTCCTAAGCTTCAACTGTGCTCTGAATATATAGGCAACTAGCCCGTAAAGACCAACCATCGCTTCTGCAACCTCGTCTCATGCCTGGGGCCTCGTCCTCCTCGTCCTGCTGCTACTCTTTCCGAATGCCAGAAGCCTCTCCCCGATCGAGCCCCGCGCCCCTTCCAATTCGGCCCCGAGCCTCGTGCCGCGGCCTCCATGACAGTTGAATTTCAAATCAAATCGCCCTCAACGTGCATGAATTCTAGCGTCATCGTCTCCCGCACGCTCCCCCGTGTTCAAAGCTCAAAATTCACAACGCGTTTCTGTTACAACGGTGCCATAATTTGAAGTTTGGGCCTTGCCGTGGATGCTCTTGTGCCCTCAACTAGCCCGTAAAGACCGACCAGTAATCAAGCAGATGCCATTCAACGGCCACAGCACTTTTGAATCTCAATTCGGAGCCATGGAGCGTTTGCGTGAGGTTGTTGGATCAGAGAACGTCTTGAAGGCAGCATGTGGCCAGTAGTCGCTAAGCTTACAATCAATCCCTTCGTGGTTGTGGAAATCGCGGGGAGCAAGGCAGTTTACTAAGCCCTCGTCTGCAACATGTAGATGCTCTAGACACGCGCACACAAATTCGTAATTCTGCACGGCGAAAAGCAAACTGCTTCTCAAAACACGAAAGACTGACGACGATTCGGAGATTTCATGCGATCGGAAAAGTGGCGTTTGGAGTAGACTTTGCCGCTCTGCCATCTGCTCTTCCAATGCCATGGCCACACATCGCGTTCGCTTTGGACTTGGCCATCACAATCGCGGTCAAGCTCTTCAGTGATACTTTCTGGCGCGTCAGTGATCCTTCAGTGATCCTTACCTGCATTTGCTCGAAACCGATGTTGAAGTACCGCTGACAGCGGTAACTTGAACATGGGTTTCGAGCGCGTGCTACCTGAGCAAATGCAGGTAGGGGATGTGTTTACCTTTAGCCTGACAGAAAAGCCAAGCTCAAGCATCTTCATGGGCAAGTCTGGGATCTGGCTCAAGGTTACCTGGCTCACGCCGAAGGAGTATGTTTCACTTATCTCACATCTTGCTCTCTGAATTGCTGCAGCTGGTGGCAACAGCGTAGACTTAGGTAGACTCGTCAGTCACAGGTGCACAGATCGTGGTCCTTGTGCAATGGATGATAATCTGAGATATAGATTCGAGCTTAGTTGTTGTGGTCATGCCTGCAGACCCTGCAGACCCCGTATGCGAGTGATCTCGTTTCCAAATTTCTCAATCTCACGAGGAGAGACGACCACGCAGACAACCCCCAGACGGACGAGTTACTGCGGCATATCCTCACCAACTTCGTGATCGCCAGTCGGGATGCTATTGGGGTGACACTCACGTAGCTTGTCTACGAGTTGAGTATGCACTTGGATGCGTCGCATAGACTGTACTTAGAGCTCTGAGACTATGAGAGCCGGAGACAATTCGAATGTCAATGTACGGTGGAGCAGTATTCGGATGTCGACTTGCAAGACGAAGACTACGTTCGCATGATGGACACACGAAATCATGAAATTGCTGCGCTGATCACCTCCAAGTCTCTTGACGAGCTGCCTTTCTTGCATGCTTGCCTTCAGGAGACTCTTCGGCTTCACCCCGCAGTGCCTCTTGTATGTCTCATGAGCCACATCTTCCTTCATCGTTGGTTTTGGAACGTGATTGTCATCTTCATCTTTGTAGACCTCGAGTTACGTGGGCCTATGTCTAGCCACTATGATTCTAAGAGACCTGGATTTCATGGCTCTTAGAATCATGGTGGCAATATTATAACATGGCTAGACATAGCCCCACGTAAGGAGGAGACTCGACCTTTCAACAGATTATATGGTGACCAATTGCCACGACATGAATCTGATTCGTATAGACTGGTAAGGTGTTGTAACCAGCAGTGCTTCCCTCTCGTGCAGAAGACATAGAAGAAGACGACACACTTCCAGCAGGAGAAGTATTCATAAGCAGCAAGAAAGGGAACGTAGTCTTCATTGCACCATATTCTTTGGCTCGAATGACGTCTATCTGGGGTCCGGATGCTGCACAGTTCAACCCAGATCGTTGGCTGCAAAGTGGCAAACTGGAGCCAGCATCTGACAGCAAGTTCGTGACGTTCCAGGTGGTTTCCCTGATTTTTATCACCAGATTTGAAACGCATTCAGTTTGAGTTATGGTAGGGAGTCAGAGACTGCTCACCTTCACCGTCAGAGATTGCTGGCTCGACAAGGTCTAGGCTAGAATTATCCTTTCTCCCTATTGGTTTAGTCTGTTCGAGCTAGAAAATGTGAAATGATGTTAGACCTGAAGAACTTTGTAAGATATGTGCAGGCGGGTCTTTATACTGGCGCTGTGAAAGATTTGACTTACCAGAGTTGCAAGGTGGTCACAGCTATTCTTGTACGGTTTTTCGAATTTATCCGCGCGTGTCCCTTCAATCGTAGTCCCAAATATCGTATGACGTCCACCTTGGTTATGGAGAGCGGCCTTCAAATGTATCCTCGTTTGAAGGACAAAATGGGAGCTATTATTTAATAGTGATATTAGTTGTTGAGGAAAGCCTGTTCGTTCCAGTTTAGATGGCTTTGAAGGACCAAATGGGAGCTACAATGCCACAATGAAGAATGTATCGGATGTTTTTGTGTTTCATGGTGGGGTGAACTTTAACGAATATCACTATTCCGTATTGGTTGGTCATCAATTTTGGTTCACAATTTCACTATCTCCAGCATACTTCCGTCCGGAAGTTCACATATTGCACATTTCGTGTGTAACCACTCTGATCTTTCACTGTGTACGTAAACGGCCTGCATGTCAATATGAGCCAAGCCACTGATGAGGAGGATGCTAATTAGGAATCAACAATGTCTTCACAGAATGGACGGCCGCAAGAAGGTTCTTTTTCTTCGTACTATAGACCTTCGTGGTAGACATGCATGTGCACATGATAATCATGAACAGAATCCGGGCAAGTAAAGCGCACAGCATGCAAGAACATGACCGCATTAAAGACGTGTGCTTTTTTTATGAACACGCAGGTGTTTCAACACCTGCGTGTTCATCAATACATTTGAAAGCCCTTGACGTAACCACGAACCAGAAGCCATCTAAACTGGAATGAACAGGCGCTATCAATATCGCTACTAAATTGTAGTTCCCATATGGTCCTTTAAAAGCATCTAAGATGGAACAATTGAGGCCTACAATGCCACAATGAAGAACTTCTACCCTCTTATGAAATTCATAACTCCTGAGATTAGAGCATTGCATGTCCCTTCCTGATAAACAATATCAAAAAAACAAGACCCATGTCTTGCACCGGCCATATTTTCCTGAATCAATGTGCAGGCTGTCCCCAAAAGGACATCTCGCATGTACATTGTAAATGATATACTTTTGTACATAGAAAGAATAGCGTATCAGAATGACACTGGGAGATAATCTCTAATTCTACTGTCGTTTCGAGGGGTCAGTTCATCCCTCAGCTAGTGTAGAGGGTCTTTATTTGCCAACTCCAAGGAAACGAGCAAGCTAGCAGATTCTTGAATGCAGGGTACGAGGAGTTAAACTGACACCACCACAAATCATTCTCTCTGTTGATAACATTTATCCGCCTATGGAAATCTGATTTTTGGTTTGACTTTCAAAAACATAAAATATGAACACCTCGGCAAGTCCTGCGGGCCTGCGTTTATCATAACCATTTTTGGATATAATGACTTTTTGGATAGAGCGGTGGATTCAGATTGCAACAAATAATTTCAAGCTAGGCTCTGAAAATTAACTTCAACATAAGGAAATAAGGAGAAATAAAGTTAATGAACAAGCCGTCCACGTGTATATCCCCATGAGCAAATAATAAAGAGAGATCGCTTTACCGTGGAACTTGTATCCCAAATGATGCATTATGGTGGAATTCCAATGTTTCAATGAATGCGGAAGACCTTGGATTAAATCAAGGCAATCGTGCTTCTGAGCCCATCAGTCTTTCCCCACATAAAATGGGGACTATAGGTTATAAGAATACATAGAATTTGTGAAGGAAAGGCAAATATTTGTTTGCGAAAGTGTGGTTTTCATTCTTTTTGGTAATATGCAAAAACTAATCTACACATTTGTAAGGCATTTTAAATATATGTCTTGTCTGATTTTAGAGTCTAGAAGTCTCTAAAACCAAAAAATTCAGCATTCTTTTTCTATCTATTATGCTGTCATAATTTATAATGAAATTTTAGTTAAATAATATGTCATGAAAGAAGTATATATTCCATTTCTCATGGGCCATCCATCAGAACACCGATATCCAATGATTTCAAATAACACGGAAGTGGAATGAAAACTCAAGGTCACCCTCTGTCAGTCCTGGCAAGCCTGGCGATCTCACCAAGTCAGGTCCGGTTCTTGTAGATCAAAGAACTCGTGCACGCAGACAAGGGCGGAGCTACAGGTGGGGGCAGGGTATCCCCACATAGACTTAGACTAGAAGCTCTGCGAGCCAGCTTTATAAGGCAAGGTTAAAATGGATACACGCTTAGTCCATCTTGGTAGTTTACAAAGTAAAGGTTTGAATCGAATTTTGTCGTTATTTTTTGCGGTAAGTACAAGGGGAGATAAAGAAGAATCATTTCCTATTTTAACTCTCCTTGTACTTACCGCAAAAAACTACGTTTGACCTAATGGAGTTGTAAATGTGTGGCTTTTATCTCAGGCCCGGTGCTATCAATTGTACAAAATGTGTCGTAAAAATGAACTTGAACTGACTGAGATCAGAAAATTTCGTACTTTTCTGCTGACAACGCAAAGTAGTATCAAGCAGAGAAGCAAAACTAGCGTTTGGGTTTTGGAGTCTAACTCAGGAGAGCTACCAAAGCAGCTGCTACGGTTCCGAACATCAGAGCAGATCCGGATTGTAGAGTAAAGCCGCTGTTTCCAGGTGTATCACCGGCAGTTGGTGGCCCTGCAGGTGCATCTGCAAACTGCTCGCTCACTGTTTCGTCCGCAGCAACAACTTGCAAACTCATCTTCATGTTTCCGGGGCTGCAGTGGCTGGGAAGTGAGCAGATGTAGCCATGGTACCCAACGCTGTTGAGAGTGACCTTCGCGTTGGAGAACTCCCACTTTTGGATGGTGGTTGCATTCGTGCAGCTTGCCACATCTGTCTCACTTACTTGGAAAACATCATGAGCCGGAAAGCTATACACGAAATCTGCACGTTATGGAACCAAACATACGAGAAGCTCAGTGGACGATTCATGAAAGTATGTTATGTCGCGCAGTGAAACGTGATAGTGCATCTATTTTGATGAGCAACACTGTAAAGGCACCATGTTCAGGTCTGTAAGCCGGATGAGACGCTTTGATTCCTGCTGCAAAGCCAAGTGAGCAGTTTTGAGCAGTAAGTTGAGTGGAAGTTGGGAAAGCTTACCGAGCTCATCGCCGACTCTGAAAGTGTGGGTTTTGGCCCAGTCGTCGTAGAATGTTGCACTTTCTACAAATGTCCAGCCAACAGCATCGCCCACGGTGTATGTTACAGCAGATGCAATTTGCAAGATACTAGCGAGAACCATAATTGTGATCAACTTTCCTTGAACTCCCGCCATGATTACAATGGAAGGAAACAAAACTCAGGGTTTCAAAGTCGAATTCCCGAATGGGATATGCACGGCTCCAATCCCAGCTGTATTCTTCTCCCCTGTTTGAAAGTGCCAACAAGTGTGCAGAAAATCAGAGCCCAGATTGTGGTGTGTGGATGCAAGCGCGGATTGCAGCTGAGGGAGGGAGATTGAGTTGTCTTGGATAGTCGATAGCGCTGCTCTTATAGCGGCCCATGCATGAGTTTGTCTGGGTTGTTTGAGAGACCCGCATTGACATTGATCTCGGAATGTCAAGGGTCTGAAGATGTTTCTGAATTGCGAGTCCGGTCAGTCTAGCGACATATGGACTGGGTCCGAACGCTTTCCTTTTGAGGCATGCCCCATCTTTCAACCGAACCGGTGGACCCCGCAGCGACCTCTGGTTGTACGGACCCGCGAGTCAAAGTTCTCAAACAGAGTGGAAACTTTTTTCTGACAACTTTCCGACTTCCAGATGATGAGGCTCTCTGTGTTTCAACCCAGCGGGAAAATATTACATCTTCACTGAAGGGAATAGTCGAACGATCTGCGGACGGCCGTGAAGAGGACTACACGAAACAACTGTATATATGTAGGACGTAAATGCCATTGGCTTTGATGCCTCCTTTGAACAGAATCCTTTACTTCATTCCGTCGACCGAATTCGTCGCCCATGAGAGAAGTGAAACTGGCGTTCGGGGGTTTGGACTCTAATCCTGGTGAGCTGCCAAAGCAGCTGCTACTAAAGCTCCTCGCTAGAACAACCCCGACCGTATGCTCTCCGGGCTGACGGCGTATGTACACCGTTGGTGTTTCACCGTCACCGTCACCCAGTGGGTTTCGCTGTCACCGTCACCCACGGTTTCGCGTTTCGTCCGAAGAAGAGAGGCCCTGTAGCCTTTTCGTCTAGCATTTCTTTTTACGCACTCTCTCAGATTGGCGATGGCGGATCAGGCTACCTCGGAGGTGGCGATTTGTCGAATGATTTTTCCATTCAACCTGATGAGTTACGATTGTCAGGGCATTTGCGTTTGTATGGGGCCAGGGTTTTTTCTGTCGTCGCGGCTGTTAGAGAATTGGCGGGGTTTCAGATTTTGCTTGGTTTCCTTCTTCCTCCCAGGGCTTTCTAAAAGCTCGATGTCAGCCTTGCTCTCCGTTTCTCTCCCCGTCCCTTCCCATCACTGAACCTTCCATGCTGTTTTTCTCTTCCGTCTGGGCATTCTCCTCGTCTTCCTCTATCCCAGCACGACATAAGCTTCGCATGTAAATACCTCCTTTTTCCTGCTCCTTTTCCTGCTATGGCTTTCGGAATCGTCTACCCGGAAGGGTTTCAGAAGAGCGCAATAGTCCCGACCCTGTCATAAGACGTGTATGTTTACCATCCGTGCCCATGTCTACAATCAAATCAGTATCGATTAATTGCTGCAGTAAGTGGCGATGGATGACTTACTGCAATTTACTGAAGTGGGCAGTGCTGAAGAAGAGGTTTCCTCGAAGTGCCATAGTGGAAACAGAAAACTTCTCTCGAATCTTTAGAGAGTTTAGAGCAGTAACTCACGGTGTGGAGGGTGAACATCTCTATCTTTTTCAAATTATGTATACTGAAGAGCCTGGTAGATCAGTTGGGATCACACTCTCCTGTCAACCTTCTCTGTCGATGCACAACTAGTGGCTTTCACAGTCCAGCAATCCGATCAGCCCGTCCTGTCCGCGTTTCCTAGACAAACCTTTCTCCCGTCCAAGCTCACAGAGGTGGCGAGATCTCGGGAAGTCAAAAAAAAGAAAAAACCGTCTTTCTGTACAGAATGTTGCTTCTTTCTCTTCGGCAAGTGTGTTCAAGAGGTGGAGAGAGATTTTGGATTTGGCCCGCCTCCGTCCATCTTTCGATGTGTACACATACATGCATTTAATAAAACGCAATGCTTAAAAAGCGCACGGAATGTCGTCATTGTTGTCGAATGTTAGAACCTCCGACAGAACTGGTGGTTTAAGTGATTTGGCTGCATCGATTGATGAAGAAGGCAATCTTGCTGAAACAAAATATGTGACTGCAATTGTGATTTCTTTTGTGCTTATGGGAGAATCTTCACGGAAGATAGGTTGAGAGCTTCGAGGAAATTCTTAGAAGCCGTTCAACGCATCTGACATGACCTCCGATTCTCAGCACTTTATCGCTGGCTGCTTCGTAGCTCCTTTGTCGATTAGAGGGTTTAGGGTGGGTTCGATTCCTCAGACAAGGCAGTCACTCTGATAATGAGGATTTCACGGAATAATGAGAAGTTTAAGCAACATCCCTGCGATCGAGGCTAGACATGAACGTGTATTGCAAATCACGTCTCACAAATCAACCCGTACCATTGATGAGCGCGATTACATAGTGTTCAGCGCTTTGCCGCCTAGGCTCCTTTGCCGATTTTGTGTTCAAAACTCTTTACTGACAGCTTTTGTTTTCATTCGATGGTTCTTTTGAGTCTTTCAATTCCCAGAAGTAATTTGTATTAAGCTTTAGTGTCACTGAGAACAAGATCCGGACTTGTACGCGAACTGTGTTGACTTATGAATCTTACTACTCAGAGTCTCTGATATCCTTGTTTGGTTTCGTGAGATGGTGCTCCAAAGAAGCAGCATTCCAAAATTTGAACAAGCCGCTTCTGTGTCCCGCACACGGTATTGTTTAATGAAGGCGAAAGAATAGTTCGCTCTGGGTTGAACACACTGCTGATGAGAATCCTCGCCGAAGATACAAGAATATGAACCCGCACGAAGGCTCTTGTCGGGCACACTATTCCATCGCGCCGACACGTGTCACACATCCGCTGTACATGTGTCGAATTTGAATCCCGAGAGTTAACGCTCGACGGGTGACTTCTTGGTGCGACGGTGACAAATGACAGACCGTCACGACGGTGACCGTATGCCGTCAGCCCACAGTTATACGGTCGGGGTTGTTCTAGCCTGCAGTGTAGTTAGGAGCGCGGGCCCTGACCCTTTCGGAGTAGCGCTTGAACTTGGCCAAAAGATAGGATGGACAGACATGAATCGGACGTAAAGGTGGAGATACCTCTTCTGCGTTTGGTGGTAGCTGATGTCGATCAGCTGACATCGATAGCTCCAAAGAACCCTAATCGATCGCGCTGCTACGATCTACGTCGGGCTATAAGTATCACTACACTCGCCGTCCTCACGATCATGGACCCCCCCCCCCCCCCACCCGACCCGCTGTTTCGGGTCGGGTTCGGGTTGAAGGTCAAACCCGACCCGATCGGAGCCCTAGTGAAAGTAAGTCCAGAAGCTCAGTCCAGCTTCCATTTTCTATGCTATTCCTGAACAGGAAATTAAAAAGAGGACTTGTGTTTTTCTTTCTGACATCACCACTTTGACCGACTTTTGACTGAGCATGTTTTCTTAAGAATCAACAATGAACAAGGTCCACACATTCTCTCGGCTCGTCTCAAACCTGCAGCTTGATGGTTTTGGGGATGATGGGCACCAGTCATCTTTATATGCTTGTAAAGTGTTTCTTGGACTCGCAGATTCCTATGCCAAGAATTGGTAAGACAGCCCACAGTTTTATTTCATGAGACCTGTTGGCCAAAATTGAAATATTTAACCTGAGAACTGAAATTTTATCTTCTTTGCAATGTTAAACACACATTGTGAGGTAAACTATAATTAAAACTGTGATATTTGTAATTTTGAGGAAGGATTACTTCAATTTGGCCATATATTTTCTATTATTACGATAAAAGACACTCACTTTACTTATGTTAATAATAGTAATCTAATGATTTTGGAGCAATCAAAGTTTCTCTACTTATCGTCTTGATATCTCAGACATGATCAATGTCAAGTTTAGAGTGACTAATATTGAACCAAAAAAAGTCATATAATGGTAACAGGTGAGCTATACATTAAGATCCCTATATATTTAAGTTGCTTACAATTTTTTTCTTTTCATTTTGAATATGGATATGTTAAAACGTTAAAATCTTACATATCATATCAATCATTAAAATCAAGAATTTCAATCTTCAGAACTCTCTATCTAGATTTTTTTCCTTTTTTTTCTGCATTTAAAAATTTTCCAATTTGCTGAAACTCTGATATAAGATTATGCAAGTTTTAGCATATAAATTCAAACTTCACACATAATTGTAACTTATCTTTTTAGTGCTGATAAGATGAGTTTCATATACTTTTGGGTCAATTTAAAGTTCAACGCCACTATCATAAGGTTAATGCTTAGCAAATGTATCAATGTTTTTTTAATCTCAAACCCGTCTCATTACTCCTCATAGTCTGCTGGTAACTTGGTTGCTACTTGAATGTGTTGGAACGTTGACATTACATAAATTGAAAATATCATTCCATTCTTGGCCGTCCTCATAAAAACTCGGAGATCAACCATGCACAGAAATTTGATCCTTTGATTTGATAAAAATACGAGTTTGATGTGTGTCTAGATAAAATATGAAAAACTATTTTTTGATATGTTAGTTTTTGCTTTTTCACAATCTATATATAGTTTGATCATCTCTAAACAAAATATTCCTAAGACAATAGTACTAGAGGGAGAACTAATGATCTTAAATACAAAAGTTCTCTAATGCTCATCTTGAATAATGTTTCAGGATTGAGTTTTGTGAATGACAACCTGAAATCAATGTTCTACCATTTGATAATAGTCACAAGGTAGTTATTAAATATTATAGGAAGATTGTGAAGTTTTACAAAAATTCCATCAATAAAACAAGCGGAGTTCTTGGATCCAACTAAAATTTAACTATTATGATGTGTGGATTGAAATATGTTTCAAGTGGAATATTGAAACAATGACACATGCCAACATTTCTCAGCCTCATTGTCCCTAATGTGGCTGGTAGCTGTCGATTTCAACTTGATTTTCTTGTGTCTTGGCTCAAAAGAGCTAGAATTGTACTAAAATTTGTGAGATTTTGGCCGCTGAGGTTTTTCAAGTCAATTATTTAAGCTATAATTATTTTTTTCACAATATGGACACACGTGTTCCTTGGAAATGCATTTTTGTTCCTTGATTAACTTCCTAACTCTTGAAGTATCAATTTGCATGGACTTTGAGGTCAAAATGCATGAAGATGTTTCATGGGCTATAGCTACGTTATCCTCTTGATATGGTACAAAGAGCTATTATCTCTTATGTCGCTACTCCAAAAGTCTGTAAAAGCCGGTTAGTGCAATCAACTGTCGGAGTAATGGCTTCTAAAAAAGTAGTTGGTTTGGACAAATTCAGTTAC